TTTAATATTTTATTTATTTATTTGAGAGAGACAGAGATAGAGAGAGCTCGAGCAGGAAGGAGGGGGAGAAGCAGACACCCCGCGGAGCAGGGAGCCCGATGCGGGGCTCGATCCCAGGACCCTGGGATCATGACCTGAGCCAAAGGCAGAGGCTTAACCATCTGAGCCACCCAGGTGCCCCAGTATGACCCTATTTTATAGATTAGGAAATTGAGACTTGGGGAGGGTGAATAAAAGAGTTGAGGATTGAATCTTAACATTGGCTGTCATAACCCTGTAGGATTTTATGGGCGAAGGAAGCATGGAGGGGGGCTAGAAAGGAATATGGTCGCAGGCAAGTAACATTTCTTTGCTGCTGGTGGTGTGTCAAGAGAGCATTTTGCAAGGACTTGGGAGTTCCCAGAGTGCGGTCCTTGGATCTCATGCACTGGGATTCCTAGGGAAGGAGTCTGTCTTAAAATATAGATCCCTAGGTACTGTCCTGGACCGACTGAAGCAGAACCGTGGCAGTGGGACCCAGGGACCTTCACTTCTAACAAATTCCCTAGATGATTCTATGGACATTCAAGTCTGACTACTGAAATTGTAAATTGAAATGAGGGGGCCCCCAGGACTAAGAGTCGACCCCACCTTGCATCGCTGGAGAAAGGATCCAGCCCTCTGGCTTTGCAGGCCTTTCCAGGCTTTTGGAATCAAGTAGCTCTCTCACTCATGATGCATCTGCTGTTCATCATCCTCTTCCCCATTCCTTTCTCCTTGGCCTTCATGAGGACAAACCTCTATTTTTCCTTCTTGGATTGGGAATCCTACTTTTAATAAGCCCCCCTCTGTCGGGGAGTCTGTCATTGGTCTGACGATGGGCTTGTTTTCTTCATTTGTAAAATGAAAATGCCAGCCTTGCCTACTTCACAGGATTGTTGCAAAGATCAAATAAAATAATTCCTGTGAATTCCTTTTTAAGTATACTCTGAAGGGACAAACAATTACGATTGCTGTTTTTAGGCTGGTCTGGTTCTCAAATATTTGTTTCTCTCCAACCTGTACTTTGTACTTTTCAGTTGCTCTGGAAACATGACAGCTAAATTTATAGTCTGGCCAGCAGAGGGCAGTGGAGGCCATCCTTGTGCCTGCCAGATGAAGGAAAACCTGCACTTTGAGTTCGAAGAACTAGCTCCTACCAGAGTGAGATCCCTAGGCCAGCAGCATCAGCATCACCTGGGAACTTGTTGGAAATGCAAATTATCGGGCCCCACACCAGACCTACTGAATTGGTAATTCTGACGGTAGGGCCCCCAAATCTGAGGTTTACAATCTTTCCGGTTGATCTTAGGCACACTAAACTCTGAGAACCACTTACCTGGAGTGGCTGGAAGTTCCAGATCAGTTTAGCCTGGGCCACCTGGGGAAGAGGTGAGGTCAGCAGGACCCACCCTCTGGCATGGCTAAGCCTAGGCCCTGTGTTACCACAGAGACTTGGTGGCTGGATTTGGGGGAGGCAGTAGGCAAAATGTATCATCCTCTCATGTGTAGAGTGGCTTAGAGTCACCCCCCCCCCTCAAGTTTTCACACCAGTCACTTGTTAGAGCCCACATCAATCCCTTCATTCCTTCTCAAAAGAATTCTGAAAGGCAAATAATATTATCTCCATTATACATTATAGGGAACATGAATTCAGAAGGGGAAAGGGATGTGTTCAAGGCTACATGAGGCAGATTCAAGACTAAGATCCCATCCACAGTTCAGGCTTCTTCTACCATATCAGAGGAGGGAGAGGCTCTGCCAGCTGATGCCAAGGAAGCTCTCTGACCCACAGACCCACTAATGGGAACCGGTGACTGGCTGTCAGACACTAATGTCCCCTCTGTCTCTTTCTACTCTCCCCCAGGCTGCACGCTGCCCTCCTGCCATACCTTTTCCCATTCTCTTCCCCTAGAAGCCTACACTTGCTGCTCCTTTGGACCACATTTCAGGAGCCAGTGTGAGCTGCCTCAGATCCTGCACATCAGCGGATGGCCCAGTGGGCCAGGCCCCACAGCTCATATTTACCCTCCTGGCTCCTCCTTGAGGCCCCAGAGCTGCTGAGAGAGTAGTCATTTGTAACAAATTTCCAGCCACTGCCATCACATTCCATTGTTTCTAACATCTCCTCTGGGTCCAACTTCTCTTTGGCCGGCCTGCAAAAAGCAAGCAGTTAGGATCCCTTGGGGGCACATTCCTTGGGGGTTAGTGAGAAAGAAGGCCTTTGAACCCCAAGCCTCTGTTGTTGTTGTTGTTTTGCCACTCTCTCCTAGCCCATATACCAACTTCCTCAGATCACCCTCAGAGGACACCTCTCTCCTAAAGTTCCCCCACCTTTGATTCTCTAATCCCATGATCTGTCCTTAAAAACAAATCTGGGGCGCCTGGGTGGCTCAGTCGGTTAAGCGACTGCCTTCGGCTCAGGTCATGATCCTGGAGTCCCGGGATCCAGTCCTGCATCGGGCTCCCTGCTCGGCAGGGAGTCAGCTTCTCCCTCTGACCCTCCTCCCTCTCATGTTCTCTGTCTCTCATTCTCTCTCTCTCAAATAGATAAATAAAATCTTTTAAAAAAATAAAAAAATAAAAATAAAAACAAATCTGGAGTGAGCTCCAGATGCCTTCGTCCCAATAGTCTTGACTTTTTAATATCCTGATAATCCAAAGATGATGGAATGGGAGAATTCAACCCCTGCAGTCAATTTAGGGGAGTTAGTATTTGGGGCCAAGTTTTGGTACGTCCTACTGACTATGGAGGCAAACCAGTTCTGTGACTGGGCACTGCACTACATCCTTTTCTTAGCCGCAGTCCACTCCAGCCTGGTGGGACCAAAGGCCAGATTCCAGCAAGCCCTGCCTTTGTAATAAAGAGAATTGGCTCTAGAGGGCACTGCACTCCATGACACTGTTGTGTCCCTGGGCTCCTATTGGGTCGCTCAGTGGCTCCATATGCTGTTACAGGAACATGAGGGCAGACAGTTCTTGCCCTATAGAGCTTACAGTTCAGCAGGGAAGGCAGACATCAAAGAGTTGTCATAAAATTGATTACAATGAGAAATTCTGAGTGATGGGTTCTATTTTTTGAACTTTTCTGCAACTTTTAATCTTCTCAAGCTTAAAACAAATTAAATTATGCTATTGATTCACTTTTAGGAAGGAAAAGAACAAAGTGCTGTTGAGTACATATAACAAGGAGACTTGGCCACCCAAAAGGAGGGTGATGTGTGCTCCACACGTTGAGATAATGCCCTGCATGAATCCCTTGGCCTCGTAGGTGGCTCTCACATTAGGGGACAGGGGTGCAGACCCCTGGCATCAGAAGGGCCTAATTAATTAGTCAGAGGGGCTGTAATGTCAGAGGCAATCTTGGGAACTAATTAGGCATTTTAAATATTGTTTCGTTGAATTCTTATGATGATTCTATGACTTAGCTAACATCCTCCATTTAAACAACTTTTTAAAATGGACACGGTAAAAAATATTCAAGATACTAAGGAGCATAGAATGAAAAAGTCACCTTTTTACATGCGATAACCTATTCTTGTTTCCCCTTCACAAAGGTAACCCTGGCTGTGTCTTTCTACAGGTGTTCTGTACATACTCAAGCATACATGTAAAAGATATCCTTACAAATAGTAGTGTACTACCTACACGGTTCTGCACCTCTTTCTCACCTGATATATCTTAGAGATGAACTCATAGTAATACATATAGCTCGGTCTCATTTTTCAGCAGTTGCCGGAGGCATGGTATTGATCATTTATTTATCCAAATTTCTAATAATGGACATTGGGCAGTTTCCAACCTTTTGCTACGACAACCCATGGCACAAATGATTATCTTTGTTTATGCCTCAGAGTTTTAATTTTATTTTAGTTAAATGAAATTTTAAAATTGAAGCAATGTGAATGTTTTCTCATTAAACATAACTTATTTTGGATATATTGGGTTAAATAAAATATTAAAATTAATTTCACCCATTTCTTTAAATTTTTAATGTTAATAATTAAAACGGCATAGGTGGTTGCATTGTAATTCTGTTGAATAGTCCTGCTTTAGATTGTCCCTCTCTGGTGGTGTCTGATACCCCCACCGGACTTAGCTCCCTCAGGGCAGGAACCCAGTCTGTCTTGACTTCCCGCTATCCCCATAATCACCCAACCCGGCATGAAGGAGGTGCTTAATACAGTTCTGTTGAATGAATGAGCAAATGAATGACCCTCTGCCCTCTCCCAGGAAGGATATATGCTTCCCAACTTCAAGTCTTAACTGAGCATCTTCTTGGAAGAAAGAATGGTATTCACTGGGTTTTCTTGATAGAGGACCTTGCACTGCAGCCAGTTCCCTCGGTTACCCCTATGGAGTTGGAGTGGTAACATCCATTTTGAAAAAAGGAGCGGATTCTTGATTATGTCGGCAGGTGGACTAAATGTGAACAAAATTCCCAGGCAGTAGGTACTCAAAAAGCACTAGACACCCTCAAAATGTGTGATCAACGACTGAAGGGTGGCTCACAGAGCCTCCACGGCAGCCCTTTGGGTGGTGGTCCTGAAGCTCCCGTGGAAGGAGGAGTTCTGGAGCTGCCTAGGCCGGCGAGAGGCCACCACACCCGAGTCCCTACACGTTCGGGCGTCCGGGCCCTCGGCGTGGGCAGGAAGGAGGGCGTGACCGCCTCATGGACCATCCATGCCTATTACCTGTGACAACAGGACTCCCGACAAGGGACGGGTACGGCGTGTGTGGCGATACCCGGGAGCTCCTATGTGAAGGAGCAGACTTAGAAGGAGCGCCTGAGTAGCGACCTTGGGGATGCTGCAGGAAGACTCGGCGGACGGAGCGGTTAGCCCCGCAACCCCGCGCCCAGCGAAGAGACCGAGGCGAAGGGAGTGAGCGCGCGTGCGCACTAGCGCGCGCCCGGTAGGAAGAAGCCCAGCGCGCGCTTCCGCGCGCGCGCGTTCGAAAGGGGAAAAAAAAAAGTCTCACCCGCGGGAGCCCGCGGCATTTAGGCCGGTGTTGGCCGGCGAGCGCGCGTGCGCGAGCGCGCAAAGACGCCCTCCTCGGCCGCTCCCCTCCACTGGGGGTCTAGCGCACAGCTCAGCTGTCCCCGCCTCTCCCGAGGCTCGCGCCCTCGGGGTAAGTACCTAGCGCCTGGAGGAGGCGGGGGGGTGAGTCCGCCAGAGAAAGGTTGGAGGCGGATAGGGCTGGGAGAAAGGGACAAATCGCCCTCGCGGAGCCAAGAGCTCAGCCACCAGGCAGGAGTCTGCAGAAGACACGCCTCCATCCCTCACGCCCCTCGGGGCTGCGGAAGTGCCCTGGAGACTGGAGCGGCACGGAGGCGCCAGGTGGACTACCATTCCCAGAAGACGGCGCGGGGCTGCGCCTACTGCTCCCGGCAATACCTGCGCGCCAGGCCTTTTTTTTTTTTTTTTTTTTTCTCCTCCCAGTTTGCTGCCGCCTAGGGCGAGACTACAGTTCCCAAGAGGCTTCGCGCGAAGCGGCTTGGAAGTGGGCAGCCTGGAAGTCACTCGGGCCACCCGAGCTGGCGGCGTCTCCAGCGAACGGCGCGGGGCCGGACGCCGCGGTCGTGGGGCCCGCGGGGCGGGCAGCCGGGACGCCCAGGTATGTGGCCTCGGGTGCAGGGGCGGCCTCACGCAAGGGTGGCGGGGAATCGGTGTCCACTCGGACCCCGAGGGTCAGCGCGGGCTGGAGACCCGGCGGACGGCCGGGTGTGGGCACCGGTTGTGGGGGGCGGCGGCGCCGGGACTCGCGCCCTCCGGACCTGGCCGGACCTGTGCCCGCATGGCTCAACTTTGGAGACGTGCTACCCAGCACTGTGTGGAAGAGCATGGAGTGGGAGTCGGGTAGCGGTGGGTTCGCGTCCTGCCTCCGCCACTCGGAATCTGCAATCTAGGGAAACCGCACCGAACCTCAGTTTCCCCTTCGGTAAAACGGGAAGAAGAGTGTCTTTTGCTGGGGATTCTGTTGAGACGTTGAGATATGGCGAATAAAGCATTTGGCACATGGAAGACACTTACTATATGTTTGCGCTATTGTTGGCTCCCAAGAAATAGGGTGAAGGTGTTATCTATAGCATAGGGTTAGTTGAGGGTGTGCATGTAAAGAGCCTTAGCACTCGGTGCAGGGTGGCTGCTGTTAACTGAAATTATTTTAAGAGCTTTGGTTTGGGAGGCGGAGACCCAGATTCAAATTTAAGCTCTGCCATTTATCAGCCCTGCGACCTTGGGCAACTGACTTCACCTCTCTGTGGCTCGGTTTCCCTGTCTGTAAAATGGGGATTTTAATAGCCACCTTGTGGAGTTGTTTTGAGGATACAGCGAGAATATTGTGTGTAAAGTGCTTAGAGCAGCAGTTGGCACACAGTCAGCATTCAATAAATGGTGCCATTTATTCAGCGTTTTTCCTGCGTCCCGGAGACCCTCTGAGGGCGGGGCTCTGGCTGTAGTCTAGGTCTGGCCCACCGGGGAAACGTCTGATCCAGATGATTTCCTCTCCTGCAGCCTCAGGTTCCTCATTTGTAAAATGGGATGACAACATCAGTCTCAGCAGGTTGTAAGGATTTGCTGAGATTGTATTCCTAGTCTAGAGCCCTGTCTTACTAAGTAGCAGCGCTTATGTATTATAATTGTTCTTCTTCAATGTTCTCCATCTGGCCCAGAGACTGTCTAACTGTGGGCTGTGACATGACAGCCCTGAGCTCCCCCACACATTCACTCCCAGCCTCAGTGTCCCATCTGTGAAATGGTAGTCACAGGATTTTGTGCCAGGCTTGTTTTGATGATTCCAGGAGATAATTCATGTTTAGTGTTTAGCACAGGGCAGGGTGCATAGTAAGCACTTAATAAACATATCTTGTTTCTCTTAAGAGGCCTTTGCTGCTTCTGTTTATATACAGAGCAGAGCAGGGATGAGGTTAGTGCCCCCCCCCCCAGTTTTTATTCATCAAAGATTAAATTCTGGAACATGCACCATATAGGAGCCTGAGAAGAGATGGCACTGGCCTACTGTCAGCAGCCCCCTGCTCACCTCTCCCACACTCCTCCCCCTCCAAGCCAGTACATTCACCCCAGTGCTTTATGTACCACCCTACGGCTGCAAGCACTTGACCCTGTCTCAAAGCCATATTAGCCCCTTGAGCTCCAACTCCAGATGCAGAGCCTATGCTTCCTTGATGTCCCCTGGTGACTGTCCCTTGGGCACCATGAACACAACATGTTCAACCTAAACTTCTCCTCCCAGACCCAGGAGTCACCGTCTTGGCAAATGGGCCAACAGTGACCCAGTTGCCCAAGCCAGAAACTTGGGAGTTGCGCTTCTCCTCCAGCCTTCCCAGGTCCAGCTGATTGGCAAGAAGGATGGAGCTACCATTTCAAAGAAACACCATTTCATTGGCCCCTCACGGTCTCCCATCTCGTGGGCACCGGAAGTCCACCTTGGCCACTGGAGATGGCCTTTTCTTACAAGGTTGAGTTGTTTCTTTCAGATCACCAAGGATTAATGCATGTAAAACATTATTAAGGGTCAGAGAAGACAATATGGACTTGGCCTGACTGCAGTGGCCACAGGTGTGGCATAAAGGTCTGATTTCCAGGGGGGCCCATTTTTACCGGTGTGGGCAAGTTCATATCTTTCTCAAAAGTTATACTGGGTCAGTGAGTTAGAATATCCTGTATGGGAAGGCAGCCATCCTGGGCATTTGGAAAGGCAGCGCACATGGCGGGGAAGAGGCTGGGAAGGGAATTTATTATATCCCTGTGTAGGTTTAAGTCTGTTGGCAGAAACCTGTCATTGTGATTGCATTTGATGATGGGAACCCGTGATCTCAGTCACATTTGTGATGGCCACCAAATTTACCTAAGTGTTTTTTTGCTCTGAGGAAATAAAGCGGTGGCTTTTAAAGAAATCTTGGTCTTAATTGTTAGTGACAACAGCACATGGTTTTTTAGCAGTCTGTGTGGAATGGTCTAAGAGTTAAATGTGAGCCTGCTTTTCAGACATGGCAGTTGTCAGGTGGTAAATCAAAAATGGAATTTAGAATGTGCAGTAATTGGCGCCTTTTTTTTTTCCCTGTAAAACATATTTCACTGGTAGATTCCAAATTTAGGTTTAAAAAATGACACAGGTTATGGTTAACAACTTAACCTCGTCATGTGTTTAACTCGCAAGATCTAAATTAAATGTATTTATGTTTTAATAAGACAATTAAACAGTGATCTCCTTTGAAGTGTTTCCTTTTAGCTTTTGGAACGAGAGGCTACTGGACCAGTTCGTGCATCTGTGCTTTCTTTAAGACTGATACTGTTCCTGTTGCTTAGGACTGCTCTGGTCATGGACTTGCTTTGCGTGTGTGAGAATGGGTTGAATTTGGCTTTAAAAAGGTTATGCAGATGGGGCGCCTGGGTGGCTCAGTTGTTTAAGCGACTGCCTTCGGCTCAGGTCATGATCCTGGAGTCCCGGGATCGAGTCCCGCATCAGGCTCCCTGCTCGGCGGGGAGTCTGCCTCTCCCTCTGACTCTCCCCCTCTCATGCTCTCTATCACTATCTCTCTCAATAAATAAATAAAAATCTTTAAAAAAAAAAAAGGTTATGCAGAGATACACATGCTTGTTGTAACACGTCAAAGAAGACAGAGATGAATAAAGAAAGTAGTAGGTGCCGCCCTCCACTCTAAAATCCCCTCCCCCGAAGGTAACCATTTACTCAGGCAGGGAGTATTTATTAAGTATCCGTGGTTAGGATTGGAGATAATGGTACTGAACACAGTGGATATGCTTTCTGCCCTTGGCAAGTTCAGTAGATGCTCTCCCTTGCCTTTTTCTGTGCTTGTAAGGATGTATATATGCATCTATTGATTGTTTTCTTTCTTCTCCCTCACCGCTCCGCCATAAAGGAGGGGTAGGGATCAAACCACACATATTTGTAACTTGATTTTTTTCAATTAATAATAGGGCATATCCCTTCAAGTCATTGCATACAGATCTGACTCATTCTTTTTTTAAGATGTTATTTTTAAGTACTCTTTATACCCATCATGGGGCTCAAACTTACAACCCTGAGATCAAGAGTTGCATACTCCACCAATTGAGCCAGTCAGGCGCCCCTGACTCATTCTTTTTAACAGCTAGACCTACATTCTTTAGTATGAGGAGACCATGCTTTATACCACCATTCCCCTGTCGCTGGACATTTAGGTTGTTTCTGGGATTTCTTTTACCTGTGCAAAGACACATCCAGTAAGCGTTCTGGTACATAGGCAGTAGAGCATAGTGACTGAAAGCATTTGGACAGTGAACAAGACAGATAAGATCCTCACTGTCCTAGGGTTTACATTTTAGCTGAGGAGGCGTGCAATAAACAAGGTAATTTTCAGTGGTTTAAGTATCACAGAGGAAATAACAGGGTGAGGGGATAGAGAGTGGCTGATAGGGCGTGCTGGTGGGGCGGGGGGAAGGGGTGGTTACTTTAACTTGGATGGTACGGGCAGGCCTGCATGAGCAAGAGGCACCAGCTGTGCCAGGAGCTGGGGGAAGAACATTCCAGGCAGCAGGAACAGCAAATACAAAGGCCCAGAGGTGGGAGTGAGTTGGCTACAAAAACAGGATCATTGTGGCTGGAGAAAGGCGAAATCCCATTTTTCAAGTTCATGCTACTTTAATTTTTGTAAAATAATGCTAAGGATGGTAATAACACCTAACGTTTCTTAATGCTTGCTCTGTACCAGTTGCTCTTCCAAGCATTTCACACTTAGCCTTACAAGACTCCCGTGAAGTAGATAAGTGTATGGAACTCACTTTACAGATGAGGAGCCGATTCCAGACTCCAGACTCTGCCCACATGCCAAACTGCTGCTCTTCCCAGACCCTCCTTACGGGGCTGAGGCAAGTTTACGAAGTGGATGCATGCAGCATTTCCTTTCCAACTTGTCTGACATGCAGAGCGCTGCGGACTATATTTAGTACATCATTTCCACTGGCAGATACGATGCGGTCAATTTCTGTTGGGATGTTTGTTTGGTTGTTTCAGAATTGAAGGCCCTTTAGCAGAGCTTGTCCTCCAATAAAACAAGGGTGAGCGGGCTTGAGGCGTGAAGGAGAGTGAACAGGGTGAACGTCCCGTTTGGGTGAGCTTTGAAGAGGGACTTGGGCGGGTAGGGGAAAGCGTGTTTCTAAGCACCAGGCCAGCATTTTTGACTGTCAAAGTATCAAAATACATTCCAGTAACTACAGAGCTACCTGGCCCTATGGGGCCCCCAGCACCCTGCTCCCGCCACCACGACTGTGTCCATTTTAATTTGATCTAGCCTGGGCCTTATGGGTTGTTTGAATTAAGGGCAGGCCTGGCTGCCCTTAGAAGACAGTAGTGGGTGCTTTTAAGACCAGGAGAAGTGTGGAGAGCATCTTTCATCCCGCCATCTAGGAAACATTTTTTTCCTAACTAGCCTGCGTGCCAGACACTGACAGTCTGAAGGCGAATGAGAAGACACGGGCTCTCAAGGGTCTGCAGCAGTATTGTCCATTAGAAATAAAATGTGAGCCACCAATGTGGACCATATACAGAACTTAAAATTTTATAATGGCCACATTTACAAGAGTAAAATGAAA